GGCCAGCGTGGTTGACTATGGCCTAATCATCCTTAACTTAGGGTAGGCTTCGAGCCCCTCGGTGGGGACGTATAGTGAGCTGATGATGATGAATATTATAAATGCGAATGATTAGATGGAAGCATGGATATTTGTGTCTCCCGAACGGTTAAACGGATTTCGATGAAATTTGGCATACATATAGAATATAGTCGGGAAGAACAAATAGGCCAATAATTATGTTTTTTTAATGCCGTGCGAAAGTAGTCGCGAGCGACGGCTATTATAATTATAAATCGGTAAGCATTATTCAAAGTTTTAATGGAATCACAACTTAAACTTCGAGTCTCTAAACTCTACGTTGTTGACTAAGTGTTCCATGTAGAGGACTTCTAAGTGTAATAAGTTCGTGAACTCTCAAGTAAAACCAATAATAAGGTATTGGTTTTAAACTTATAATATAACTTATTGGTAGGTCGTAATTATTAAATCTGTTTGAGGACTCGAGTGGTTATTTACTACGCTAGTAGTATTATTGGTCATTATATAATCGGACATGTCTTGAATCTATCAGAAACATATAGTTATGTAAAAGTATTATAATCTACTAAAATGAAATCTTAAAACAGCACAGAAATAAACAACATTTTAAGTTAAGTTTGAGATAGTAGAGTGTAAAACAATGTTTTATAACCTGTTAGTCGCGAACCACTAGGGGGTCGTAGATCCTTTGTAATTAACAAATTAGCCAAGAATTACGATTTTTTTTTCGTGTCCCTTAACAGTAATAGCGATATGTAACTGCACCGAGCGTTTTTGTTTCATTGTAATAATATTCACAATTATTATTTATCATGCTTTGGGGGTCCCAACTTGAAAATGATGAAAAATTCGAAGAGAAATACATTAAAATTCTCTAAACGTCTTTGTTGCCCTTTGCTATGACTCTATTCAAGTATTAAAAAAATGTCTCTTATTTTTGTTTCGTTTAATTATTTCCTAGTTTTTCATTAGAAGTTATCAGAACATTCAATTAGGCATTAGCAAACTCACACAGAGTATCATCCGACCCATCCGGTATTAAGATGCGATTTGCGATGATTAGGGCGTACTTCCAGTTTTCGACTTTCTTTGGGTATTATTATTCTATTTCACTTTAAAGGACAAATGAAAAAAGAAGGACAATTTGGATTCCTATTCTTAACAAATTAGTCCTGTTGAATTACTCATAATTGTTTTTTATATTATAAATTGACGTCTAATAAAAATCGATAATAATCTAATAAGAAAGAATAATCTATGTTTGTATTAGTCACTATTCATATATGAAACTGGATTTTTTTATATAAAATAATAATGTAGGTTATGGCTACTAGTCGCAGGTTCGATCCCTTTCCGACATAGCTTTGTGCGATTGTTTCATAAATCAAATGTATACGTCTCGTAATCTTAAGTAAAAGATAATAAGATAGGCATATACTAAAATTATTCTAATAACATTTTTCTCCAGCGTTACAATGACCTTTCAACAAATTCAAAGTACGGTATTCTAATTCGATCTAAAGATTAAAAGTAGTCCGTCTGACCGTCTGATATCACTCCATCTCATTAGACTTTGCCTATTCAAGACCGCTCCAGTTCCCTCGGCTGTGTAATTTTGTTAGCATTTTTTTATTGTAACCATAAGCCTCTACAACACAATCGACATTTTCTAATAATATTTATTATACCCGCATCTATTTCTTGTGGTCAAAACATAATTTGTTTAAGTAAAGCACCGAGAAAACATACATTGTCAGCTCCCTGTGACAAATTACTCACAAACTTTCTACAATGTTACACTGTGTATTAGAAATAATGAAAAAAATAACACTCACCGCATGTAGACCATAGCATTCAGCAAAAAGGAATCCACTTTTGTATTTTTATCGTAGACAAATATCCATTAATCTCTCTCAGTTTGAAATAAACTTTTAAACTATGTCTAAACTTTACTTGCTGGAGCGATGAAATGTAAAACATAAAACTTTATTTATTATTAATTAATTAAAACGTTTTCGTTTAAACAACTTTATTATATTTTTAAATAAAATGTGTAATTATAAATTTAATTTAATCGCGATATAAAAATACCTTTCCTATTTCAGTAAAAGGAATGACGTGCGCTCTCCTAGAATCCTGAAATATTACTGATCCGCCGACTTCAGTAGACAAACCGAACCGTACGCAATCATTGCAACAGCTTTTCTAGTGCGACCATCCATCGAAGCGTTGTTTTATCTATGTTTAACATAGTAACTAACGAAAGCGGCATTGTATATGGAACGTTTCGTTATTGTGAAAAATGAAATAAAAAACTAATAGCAGGAAACAATAGCCGTAAAGAAGGCATAAAGCAGATACGGTCATCGGGCAAAAGCGACAAGAATAAAGTTTCACGGCGATACTGAGCGTGGCTTTTCATAACTGAACCTATTGAAGCTGTGTGTGCTTCTTATTACTGCTTTATTGTTGAACTGCTTGCAATTTCGTTTTACGATGAACGTAAAACCCATTAGAGAGTATGGCGTTAAGTATCTCAAATTATATTTACTTCATTTTTATTATTGTTTCCAAAGATAAAAGCATGTAATATGTATAAATCTAAAAGCGCATAGAATTTTCCCAAGTAGAATCTAAATATTTCTACGAGACGAATATTCTAAATTAAATTCTTGGAACACTATTTCGTTAGGTATATAATAATACTAGCTGTTGCTCGCGATCTCGCCTGCGCGGTATTAAATAAACCTTATTATTAGCCGATATGTTCTTTTAAAATATGTTCTACATCTATGCCAATATTAACTATCACAAACATCCATCCTTACATATAAGTAGACTTTCGCATTTATAATATTGGTTAGAAATAAAATGGAAGTATAGCCGTTTCATTTCTAACAAATTGAAAGCGAAAGACATAAGTTGGATAAGCAACCCACTTTCAAGCAAACTATGGGAATATCTCTGACACTAAGCCACAGTGAAGAAGGTAGGTCGGTAAAACATATAACTATATGTTTTGCACGACAATCATATTGAACAATCTTATAGATAATCCTGAGGAGAATATGTAGCTCTTATATTCTTGTTAAAGTAAACAAAATTGAAATGTATTAAAAAAGAAGAAACGAACACAATTTAGAAACTTTGTAGGTAGGCAATTTTGAAATCTTGATTGACTTAACAATAATTTTGATAATGATCGATTAACCGTTTATACTAGTAAATACTGCGTTTATGCTAGTTTATACTGTAAAATTAACAAAATTAAGACATTGTTTATGATATGTTGTTGAATCTATCTGCTCAGACTTTGATGGTGGTTGCTGACTGTGTTTGTATATTTTAGTAATCGGATTAACATATTCGAGACAAGGTCGAGTAAACAGTTTATTGCTGTCATGTTACTTTGGACATTATCCATAAATTTCATGTCAAAACAGTCTACATCAATGTAATATTGATGCCTGAGGAAAATTTCTGTGAAAATATTCATAGTGTTTGATTATAGATTTGACGAATTACATATATTTTTCCATTGATTATTTACTAGCTTTTACCTTTGCGACTTTGTAGGTACGGAATTTTAAAAAAACTTAATTAGCAGCCTTTGCGGTCTTTTAGTGTTCTATACCAAATTTCATCCAGGTCCATGCTGCCATTCTGGAGATACATCTAACAAACGTGTGTCCAAACAACCTTTACTTTCGCATTTACAATATTAGTAGGATGTTGTAATACAGACAACTATTTTTACTGCTTTGTACATACTTATGAGTACCTCATACTAAGAAGTATTACTGCCAAGCTGAACTGTTAGGTGAGCTCGATAAAAGCCTAGTGATGATTATTTAGAAGATGAAAACTCTCGGGTGCAATAATAATATTATTCCATTCACTGCACTCAGAGTAGCTTAAATGTTGAAATTTCAATGTAAATACAAATCTTTATAAATATTTTGTATGAAATATCCCAAAGGTAACTAATTATTTACTAAAATGTAATAGCACTTTATGCTTTTCATATAATCATCTCCTTTAACTGTGGTTAATAACCTTTTTGATACATATTGTTGTCTCTGTTAAGTCAAAGAGCATGTAAGGGATGGCAATATATAATACAAAGATCAATGTGATAGAGATGTAAAGTTCTACTTCTATTTAGAAACGTTTGTTATAAATAAGATGCAATTCCCCCTTATAATGCGTTATCTATGTCCAATGGACGCCATTAATAAATTAATTTATTCATCGACAACGCCCACTCACATTAATATTCTATAACTTATACTATACGAGAACTAAGTCAAATGTTTTGATGTTGAAGACGATTAAATCATTACCCACATTTTCATCGACAAGTTTCGAAACCTATGCCAGTGTCAACGCTCGTGGACAATAATCATATGTTTTAATTTATGCGGACGTTTAGATGTCTATCAATACAGATACATTACAGATGTATTTGTTGGCGAATTCCGTTGGTTGCTTGCTCGGTTGCCACCTTTTGTTACAAAAAAAGTCAAAAAAGAAAACGATTATTTTTCTACAAAGCCAACATTTTATTCACTTAATCCGACCATACATACGGGCATAATATGTTAGTATGAAATGTTTTGGATAACTGCACAGTAATAAATATATCTAATAGGAGTTTAACATTAACGTCAAGAATTTCGAGTATACAAAAATAATACATCTTATCTTAAACATTTCACTTAAGTACAAATTCATTGTCAATAAATAAATAGAACGGCACATTTAAAGTTTTTTTTTTGTGTCTACATATCTTTTTTATGTAATAATAAACATTAAGGCAACACGATTTTACACTGTATAAAGCTATGCGTATACAAAATGACATATATACGTATATGACTAACGATTTTTACATAAATTAAATGGCCAAAAGAGTAATTCATATTTTAATAAGTATGTAAGTTGTTTTTATAACTTAGGTTAGGTTATAATTACATTAACATACCGCATATAAATACATAGATCCCTTATGTATATGTATAGTAAACATGAATAGTAATATAAACTTTTTGTAGACGGAATTTAAACTGTTAATAGGTATATAACTAATATTTTTCTATTACAATAAGTTACAAAAATGTTAATTTCAAGCTTACGAATATAACAGGCAAATGTTCTGTAGTTTAAGTCATATTTGACGACACAATAGATATTATTCTTAAAATAAATATTTTTCTACACAATACTGTTCAATTAAACCAACAGTTTTGTATTAAATTCATATTATAGGAACCCTATCTTCAGTTCACGATCATTTCGACGATCATTGGGTGCCTTAATATTTTATGCGGAGAAAATATATGTCTGTTAAGTTTTTTTTCAATAATTATGGCCACAAATTACGGGCAAGGTAATACAGTATTCTGTTAATACTTTACAAAACATCTATTAGTTTGAACATGATCAGACGAAATAAAAACTATGTAAAACTGGTTAATTATCTAGAATATTATGTATAGTTTATGCTATTCTTTCAATAAATTGTTACACCTTATAATTATTGGCACTTATGTCACTTACAAAAATACATTTACACGTAATATATTTTTAATTTACAATTTCGAAACGAAATACTCTTTGAAAGTATTCGTAATTTCAAGATAACGAAAATTTCTTCGAATGCATTTCGAACTAAGTAGATACGAATAAATAAATGAAAATCTTATAGTAATAGCAAAGAAGTAATAAATAAAAATGTGATCAAAAATAGGTAGTAGAAAATAAAGCAGAATAAGTTAAATATATGTTACATCGAAGCAATCTTTCCATCGTCACTTTTTAAATAGAAAACTAGCCTACAATAACAATAAATAAAATCTTAAGGCACTGTATTAGGTACCAAGATCACAATTTCATTATATTTTACACATGTAGAATGTTAGTACATAAAAGATTAGAGGCATGGAATGTCTAGTTACAATCGTAGAACACGAACACGAGTAAACTTTAGTGTCAAGATAGAAATAAAAGTTAATTAGAGCCACTTAAGTGAGATAAACAATATTAAATACTATCATACAACTATACTTATAAACAAAACATAAGCGCATACATTAAGTATTTCTGCATTGTGCAGAATAACAACACCGACACAATTTACAAATATTCGAACGTCAACTCCGATCCGCAAAAATATGTCTCTTATTCTACGTCATAAATACAATTTCAATGGGTTAATACGATAAACATAGTCGAGGCGTCCTATGCAGTAGACTAATAATTGCATTATTGAGAGCCTATTTACACATTCAGTTCGCGTCGTATTTACACTTGGATACTATTTACATAATCCGTCAAAGGCACGTCCCGCGCGCGATATATTGTTTTTGAACGGTCGCCGAACTTCCACGTCACTAAAGATATTTATACTTCGAAGGTAAGACGTAATCGCCGAAGGAGTACAAAGCGTTGGCGTACCAGTGTACGCCGCGCGGCATCTCTTCGGTTTTGCTCCAACTTGCCATCCATCGCAGAGGCGCCATCGCAGCGTGTGCGAGCGAATGACTGCGGACGAGCGCATAACACGACGCCAAAGCATCGTCAACTATGATAGTCCCGGCTTTAGTGAGAGGCGCGAACACTCCACGTCTCTTCACCATTCTCGTATGAACGACCTTTGACGGCCGCATCACGCTCCCAGTTCCTCTCGTCAGCAGAACGTCGCCCAGCTTGATGTTTACAGCGAATGACTCTCGCCAGCCGTCTGCGGCGGCTAACAGCAACAGATGCGACGGCGTTGTTGTGATGGTCCCACCATTCTCCGCAATTATTTCCATGAACTGCCTCGTTGCGTTTGGATCTCGATCCATGAACGTCAACACCTGGAAATAAGATTGTATTTGATTTTAGAAATAACGTCAAAGTGAAGTGACTCGGATATGACGGCTAATAGAGATGTATGGAGGAGTAGTACATACTGTACCGACCCTAGATAGGGATAAGGGCAGGTTGATGATGATGATGATGTAAAAGTGAATCGATCATCTCTTTGTATTGAGGTAAGTAGCAAATTAAACTTACAGTTTGATTTTATATTAATTAGAGGTATTTTACATTACTTGAGATTAAATAGAATCGAAACCCAAGTCTTTCCTTTGCTTTTTAGACTTATCTAAATACTTTTCTACAAATGCTAGCTAAACTCACTCCTCTCGTTACCAAAGTTCGTTGCTATGACCATTTAATATCAGATAAATTTGTTCATTTATTAAACTGACCTCTGAATATATCATCTTGCCGTCATCTGCGGCGGCAAGCACGCGGTCTCCTTTCCTCAGAGAGTCGATGTCTCGTGGCCCGCTCTCCGTGTACACCACCGCGCCTGAGGGAAAGCACCCAGCGCCTGTTCCCACTGATGACTCTGCAATTATAATGAAGATAAATTAGTAAACACTAAGAAGGAAAAGAGCAGTTTTCTAAAAAAAATAGAGTAATGAATATGAATCTAGAATTTAATTTTATCAGAGATTTCTGTAATATTACATCATAGATAATTTACACATTCCCTATAATGAGTTGTACTTTCTTAAAATCGCATCAAGAACTTATTTGAATAAAATGCTTCGCTGTTTAATAATAAATTAGTCCGATGTAGTCATATCCATTTAAGGAATAACGAGATTCCTCTACAGTCGTAATTAAAATCCGATAAGATACGAAACAAAAGGGAAACGACGAAACAGAAGAGAAGGCTTTCTTGTCCGCGCGGGTTATCTGCGTTCAGCTTAACAGGAATTTGTTTCATACAGGTAAATCCTTTGTTACACTCGCCCCGAGTCCGACAACCTTTACTTGCTAGTAATTTATTTAAAAAAATATTCAAAGAATCCCTTAATCACATCCCCAAACAACTTTTTAACGTGTCAAAAGAAAAAATCAATCCGTTTTGTTAATTCTTTAAGACCATTGTTCGCAAAAAAATATACGAAAGTCAAAGTAAAACTATATATAGGTGAGCTGTATTTGTTTATTATCTAATAGTATTTATTTAAATCCTTATCCTGCTTATGTTACCTGTCCGTAATCTGCATTCTACAAAAAATGTGCATTTACGTGCGAATAAATAGCATGAGAAGATAAGTCGTCCTATAAGCTGACGCATAGATGAGAAGGTGCAGAAAGGAGAGTGAAAAAAGAAAGTACAGTTGGGCGGCTAAAGAAAGTGCGGCGTGGTTACCGTGGGCGGTACAATCACACGCACAAGTGCACCCGGAGGTGGCATTGCAAGGGCCGAGTTTGCGCGGGCTCGTTAAATTTTGATTTGTTGTGAAACCGAGCGATAAATTCGGCGGATCCCGGTCATTGTGAGCGACGGCCGGCGGATCGCATTACACAATAACACAAATTAGATTTCGTTCAAAGTCAAGCCCTCGCTGTCCGCATTTTGTTTGTTGTCTACTGAGCATATCACACGAATCATTGAATAGCTGTCGGCCACCTTTGCTTTTTTGCAGACCTTAATGCCTCTTAAAATGGCTTTTAAATGTATTCGATGCGCATATTCTGCAGCCGTTTCCTGGACATGGAATTTTATTTACATGTACAAGTTATATGCGTGTGTTAATTGTTTGATGTGTTAGTAAACAGCTATTAATTGAGCAAACATTGCTAATGATGTACATATTAAAACGTTACGAAATCACCAATGTGATAAAGCACATAAAAAACGTGTTCTCGAAAATACAACAATGTCGTGACACTAAAACGTTGCATGTGTATTCGTGTTATTATTACAAGTAATAAAACTTTTTAATGCCGAAACATATAGATTTTGCAAAATTATGCGGATAAATTATACGATTAGGAAGGTAGAGGTTATCGATATTCGAGGTCCTGACCTCAGCCGTGAGCACTAATTCGAGGCCCCGAGACCAGTCGTTGTACAATTATGCGGCGTGACGTAAGTGAAGTTAGGCTGAAGATGCGGCGATAAGCGGCGCGGGCACGGGCAGGCTGCGCAGGCGCGGGCGCGGTGTGCGCGCGGGGTGTGCGGGACGGGCGGCGCGCGCGCAGCCGAGTGGCCGCGCAGACCCCGCCCCGAGAGGACCACCGGGCGCGCTAGGCGGCGCGCGACCGCCTCGCCGCACGACCAGCCCGGCGCAACATGCCCGTGCTCTGCCGTACCGTGCCGTGCCCACATAACACACACTCCTCATATTCCTATTCCTTTAAAGCAGTCACCGATATCAACCTGAATCCCCGGTACCCTGAGATGCATAATGCTGATCTGATTATTACTTACGTACATAGTCCAAAATTAACAAATACGTTTGCCAATTATATAGAGCATCTTTTGTGAAGTGCAAATCCCAAAAAAACATTTAATGCTAACAAAACAATAAAAATTATTTAATTATCATATATTAAGCTCACAGAGGATATGAATTTTGAAAAAGTGTGCAACATTAGGATCGTATTTCACTTTTTCTAATTTATAGCCGCCTTAATCCGCATTTATTACGTTCCTTTGCCTTTTTGGTAGTTATTTCAAGAACTATAATAATCTTGATGGTTGGAACATGTCGAATAAAATGATCCTTATATGCCGATAACAATGTAAGATCGCGCCTTAAGCGGTCTATATATCTATGTGATTTATATCGTATGGAATAGCAATTAGTCGGCCCCGGCCGCCGCGTGGCCATGCAAATGCCAAACCATCGGTTATGATTCATGCGCCAAGCCTGACGTATCATCATGTACCAATTTAAAAACCTACCGATACACTTATTTAAATGCAATATATAAGAGAATAACCCGTATGCTTTAAAAAACTAACAAACTTAAAACATAAGTAGACGAGATGTATGCAAACTTTTTGGGAATAATTTCAAGGCGATATTGTACCTAACAACTTATAACATTATTGCAGTATATTGTATAAGTAACATGGTAATATTATATTTTCTTCCATCAATCTGTTACAATTACTATACATTTTACTTTATACCTGTTATAAAGCGCTAATAAGACTATGGAAAATTGAAATTATTTTTTTAGTTTCTAGACAACTGGTATGTAAAAAGGAACAACAAAATTTAACGAGGTAAAGCTTCTCAGGTTCGCTTAAAAGTCATTGCTCAGTCGCAATAAGAATACGATCGGCCACGCGATGTACGATATGCCGCCGCCATCGCCGCCGCCCCGCCGACTTGCTCACAAAATGATTTAAAGCACAAATAAGCGACATCGTCCCTCTAATATAATATGTATTTATGTCTCATATTAACATAACTTACATACTCTAAACATATTACTGAACGACGTTTACGATATTGAATAAAAGATTTCACTTACATATCATTTTACAATAGATGAACATACGAATTATTGCAAATTGTTCACATTTATGTGCATGACACTATATAACAAACGCAATCCGAAGCCAATGTAATCCATAGTTAGTATCTGATACAACTTACTAGATGTCATAAAGTTGAATATACAATGAATTATGTATTACAAATATATTTTTTTTAATAACAATTTATAGTTACGTTATTTAAAGAATTCCTTTTTATTGTGATACTAAGAAATATTTGTTTATACAAAGCTATGTAGCTTTGTGCACTAATATCTTATAAACGATAATATACGGGACAGTGTGAGAAACGGCTCCATTATATAAAGAAGCAATGCATGACTTACATACCGAAAATAGTTTTGCCTTTAAAGTTTTCTTTATACGGATAACAAAATTTTAAAATATGTGGTATCTAAAAATGCACAAATTCGAATTTAATAGATATCGTTATTTAAGCTATAAGCTTAAAGTCCAAATAACTGAATTAAATTTTTACATATGCATATGTTGTACTATACTATTAGTAATGTGTTTTTCTTCTTAAATAAATAACTTAAAACTATTATATGAATTGGTTTATTTAACTATCACAAAATTGGTTAGTAATAAAGCAAGCATTGACATGAGTTCACACATTACAAGCCAGTCGGTATGAATGTGAAAAAGGGTGAATTTGTGAGAACGTTGCGGGAGCAAACCGCAACCTTCCGGGATGTGGCGTGTCGAGTGTCGATGCAGCGACGCAGGCTTTCGCACGCATGCCCCGAGCGCGCTCGGCCGCTCACTGACTCCTCTACTTGTTTTTTTTATTAATCTGTGATCGCTTTAAACGACCTTCATAGCTCAGACAAAATATTAACGATCCATTCCGAAAATACGTGTATGTTTATACAATTTGATCAACAACACATATAGAATTCTATTTATGGTTCTTATATTGTTTATTTCTTGGAATATTTTACTTCATTGAACAATTACAATCTGCAAATATATGTGTTTAGTAGAAACAAATAACTACACAGTAATCTATAAGACACTTATTCGTGACATTCGTGTGTAAAGTGACATTACGTTACTTGAATTCTGCAACTATAAATAAATTAAGATTCTAAAGAGATATTCAATATCTATTAAACCGCATCTCAAGCTTTATCTGACCGCTTCCTTATTTTCTGACTATCTATCTCTATCGGCATTCTATTGCCTGCAAATTTAATAGCGCATAATACAAATTTATATCTTAGTTATTCTCATACATGCTTTTATTTCCTGCCGATTTATTTGCTTCTTTGTGTCCACTTATTTTTAGAATATAGACATTTTAATAGAATAAGGCACGTGATTTCGGTAATTTGACTCTAAGAATATTCTTCAAAGTATTGAATAAGGAATGAATCTTACTATTATCGTATGAATGCGAGTGTCCAAGTGAACAAATATCCGTTCATGCATCTAAATGCATGAACGGATATTTGTTAGAAGGTATCTCCAAAACGGCTTAGGGCACCTAAGTGAAATTTAGCACAGAAGTAGAACATAATCTGGAAGATCGTACAGGCTAATAATTCAGGTTTTTTTTTAGTATTTTGTAGTAGTGGTAAGACTAAAGTATACCTAAATATGTGTATCTAATAATTGTAAAGTTGTAAGTTGTGAAGGCATAACATTAAAATGAACATTTATAAAGGAAAGATGGTCTAGCTCGTGACCTGCCTCATACAACGTCAGTCACGCCCCATTTATCCGCGCCTCCTCCATGTAAAACAACCTTTACTGCCTGTCACATTGTTCCTATTCCACGAATTACATTTTTACTATATTTAAATACAAAGACAATCTTTCCACTTTAACATTTTATAGTTTTCTGCTTTCATTATTTAAATGTAAATTTAACCTGAATAATAACTTGAACAATTTTAAATAGATTTATAGTGTTTAATTACTTTATTTTACTTTTAAAATCATATCGAAATATTATGTTAGAACTTGAAGTGACAAAAGACGAAACGCGTTGATGTCTTTCAAACTGATGAACTGCGAACTTTGCTATCGAGATAATAAACAAGTCTCACAAGAATAAAAACTTAAAACATATAAAATTAAAAAATAAAATATTTATTCACATTTAATACGTTATAGTTTTTTTTTATAACTTATACAATTTTGCCTTTGAAAAATCCCGTCGCTCTATTAAATCGTATACAAAACGAAATAATCAAAACCGACCAATAAAAATCAATTAATTCGAACGTGTATAAAAAATCTCGCCATTTTATTGGTGCCGCGATGATCGAGTGCGATAGTTTAATTTAATATCGTGAGCAGCGTCACTCCAGCGCAGATATTTACTGAATCTTATCTCAGAAAGCCGAACCATTTGTGACACTTGACATTAACAGCTTGTCTCTGATGTACCCGACACCAATTTGAATGCACTTTTCATTTGATTCTTAATTAAATAATGATTTATTTATAGCAAATAACAGGAATATTAATCATGTCTACGATTTGATTAATTATGTAGATGACGGATATAGGAAAGTTAATAGATTTATTAATTAAATTATACTTTATTTATATGTTTTTTAATATGTGTATAAAGTTATCGATTATTTTATGTGTGTTCTGTCTTAAAAAGTTGTTTGGATGAAATAATAATTCAAAATGGCCGTATTCATAGCGATGAAGCGACTTAAGATCTAGCGCAAACATCAAAAATGCTTTTAATAGAAAATTAGAGTATATCAGAGTCATGAACATATTATTGTTTTCGATATATAGATAGTGATAGCTTTGTGAAAAAGAATCGTTATAAATAGAAGTACATATGTAAGAGTATATTTGAGTGGATGTGTAGTGGTGTCATGAACTTCGCGTCCTTGACCTCGCGAGACGCAACCGCAACGCACATGCCCACATACAGCACATTAATTATTTATAAATTCCAAATTAATACTAAAAACTCCCCGATCGAACAAAATGTCGGAATAAATGAATAAACATCGAAACAAATTGACTGCGACCGATCCGAGGGACTATCAGTGGCTGAGCTTTTGAAACAATGAAGGACTTTTTGTCTTTTTTCAATGATAAATGTCCGTTTAAGAGCCCCCTCGCTATGTTTTACCCGAGACCTTTAAACGTTAAATATCCACTTCGATTTGACAATGACATAAGATTATTGGGCGTTTTTTTGTATTTGTTTCCTTTGGTTTTAGAATGTAATCGGCTGCGATACAATTAGACGTACTTAGTTAATAATTAACATGTCTTTATGTATTTAAGTTTTTCTAACGCGCTTTTGCGATATTCAGCACGAAGGCCACAAGTAGAAGTAATGTTAACTACATGCCTTGGGTGCAAAACAGATTGTAAGTAGAGTTAAAAGTGTTACAAATGAATTGCTTATGATATTTTTAGTTACTTTTAGTGTGTATATAGATATGTTTATGTAACAGAGTACTTAATCATAACAAGTGGAAGCACATAGGTCCTCGCAAACTTCGGGGTTTCGCTTTCATCGGCGATTGGTAATCAGCTCAGTTAATTGGAACTATGAGCGTCAGAATGCCATCATGAACTCTAACGTATACATACATATAGAGGCTCGTTTCTCTCGACGTTATGCTCTATACATAACTATAAGCCATTGAATCACCGGTGTAATTATAGAAGTGGGGGATTGGCTGCGATGCGGCGATGTGCGAGGGAGAGAGTGGCCTTTGTACTGCGGTAGGAAGAGAGAGGGATGATAACAAGAGGCTCGTTCGTCCGTTTGATCGACACCGCCGGCGCGCGGGCGCGGGAACTGTCCGAGGTGCATTCTTGTAGCTCTCAACTATATATTTGGCCCGTCCCGTAGACAGTTAATTATGTACCGATATAATAAAAAAAGCGAGATAAAAAATTGAGATCCGTGAATGTCCTTTTTTAAGTTGATATTATATGATTTGACATTTATAGGTCATAATACTCATAATATTTAGTTTTTAGATTCGACCAGCAATATAAATAAGGTTCAAACAAGTTTAATTTTAATTGCTAAATACTATTTAATTTACAATTGTCATTTATTTTAATAATAAATAGCATTTGGCACATACATAATATTTAAAAACTAATCATGAATTCCATGTGAATTATTAGCTAAGTAGCCGGCGAGGTTCATGCGTCATGCTAAAGATTTAAACGCATATCTTAGGTCAACAATTCTTGATATTTGTTTGCGAGAGTTAAACATTAAGTATTAAACATCTTGCATTTTCACTATCGTCTTGTATTTTATTCTCTTTAATAAGTACTTTAGTATTAAAAGAAAACACAAAATTCAAAAATCCTACTTCCTCCTACTTTACAAACCATAAATAAACTTTAAAAATAATAGGTATATGTACATGTTATATTACTAATGTATTGTATTGTTAGTGTGTACATACCTGTTTTTACAGAACAGTGTATATAGGAGCGGCTCTCATAGTAGACCCAGTCGAAACCGGCCTCGACAGCGAGTCGCGCCAGCATGCCGTACTTGCTGCTGTCACGGTCACTGGTGGTGAGGTCGACGGCGCGACCCTCGTAGTGCAGCGAGTGCTCCTGATGCGAGTTCTCTTCATCCCAGCCCTCGATCACCCGCAGCCGTACGCCCGGCCACTGGTTCATCACACTAATAGCCAGCGTGTTCAACTTCTCCTTGCAACGCTGTGAACGTAATTATTTCCATGTTAATTTATGTCCTAATTTATTTGAGGTATCTTTATTCGTATTAACAAGACATTCAAATTTTTTAGGTACCTTGCGGAACAGAAACTTTCTTTTATCAAAGTTGATAAAACATCGATTTCTTATTCCATAATATTTTATGACATTTATTGAATTAAGTGCTATTGTTCTATTCAAAAATTCTAGCAAACTCATAGTAAAAAATGATTATTGAAATCGATACACCATCACATATTGATTTGCGAATCTAATTGGCCACATGCAATGGGCTTTCAAGAAACAATTCCACTGTAAAGCGCGAAGCTTTTTGTTTGCACATCCTAAAGAAAATACCAATAGACGTGCTAACAAATCGTCAAACACCGCCGCCGCAGATAGGCGGCACGGGGGGCGCGGGTGGCGCGGTATGGCGAGCGTTTTGTCGTCGAAGAATAAATCAAATTAAAACACGCCGCACAAAGGAATCGACACGATGCCATTTGTGAAATAACTTTGTGGAGCAAATAAAGGCAATGTCAAAATATTTATAAAGAAATGCGGACAATGCGCCACGCACCGCACGCTAGCTTTGTGTCCCCATGTCAACTCACTCTATGCAGATTCTCAGTGAAAAAATCCGAGAGATTGACGTAACGAATCGAACCGATGGGCGTCCCGCTTTGACGACTCGCTCGCTCGCATTCAATATAACAGATATTTGAAGCACCGTATATAATTATTTCCACGAATGTCTTAAAATAATAAAGAGTTGGTAAAATCATCGTTTCCGTCCAATGCATGTAACAATAGTGCGGATGGTAATTCCATATGTCTGAGCTCACGTGCAATATATCATTGCAAGAATGCTTTAGATTCGCTAGACGTTCTTATGTTGATATTAAGATTTTTGTATTATGTTAAGCAAGTAGCGCTTATTTGTAAGAACACTTATTAATTTCTTAAAAATAATTCGTCATGGTTCTAAAGTTTTTTGATAAATACTTTCTGTTATTAACGCATTAACGAATATTATGTTATGCACTTAATAAACCAGAGTTTTTAATTATATTTAACTAAAAAAAAGAGTTGGCTGAATGGGTTAAATTATTTTTTTTTGTTTTGTGTAATATACGAGTTTTGTTGACAGGTAGACGAGAGAGGCAAGGCAAGGTAAGGTAAGGCGAGGCAGGGCAAAGCGCTGGGCGCAGCACGGGATGCACAATGTTTGCTTCCCCGCGGTCATCCCGGCCCGCACTAAAACAATCGAATGCTAAATGTATACTCAAACACTTCGTGCACTTTAACGTGGGAACACGGCGGTGGCGCAATTAGCCTCTCGCACCGCACCACCATCCAAATTGTTGCTTTCACATTTTTTACGATTAACGTAGCAATAGAAACATTTATAATTAAAGTTTGTACTTTCATAAAAATGTTTTTATGATTTTTTTTCTTCAAATATACGAAGTAAGTGTCGCGTATGAAAAGAATTGCGTTCAATGTGATTATTATAATATAATTTTGATATGCGCTGGCGGCAAGCAAGTGAGGCTGGATCTGGTAAGAAGAAGCGACGAGACGTTCCCGGCGGGCCATTATAAATTCATTATGCATATTTTTAGTAAACAAGCTGTCGATCACAATGCACCGGCGCGGCGGGACGCCTGCCTCTGACACCTCTCCAGCCCGCCTCGCCTCGCCTCGCGTACCCACGTATCCTAAAACCACGATCGCCTTCGCCTCGGAATGCAACTACACCCAATGAGCATACGACAATAAACGAGTTTTTATCACGGGCTCGATTAATGAAATATATATTCGCGTATTATCAAATTACACCACATCGAAAACTCAAATTCGACTACATTGATTAACGAAAAAAAAAGTAACAAGCGTATCGAATACCTAAGGTCAAGTTTTGTAGTGAAACGCCAGGCTACCTGAACCGGTGTCGGGGCACCAGCGGTCGCATAATGAAGGCCGCTTGATGGAATTGAAGCAAAAATCGAATAAAAACTTAAAGGATCATCGCACTGAAGCAGCGGGTGCGGTAACGTGAGAACATGAGCCGCGCTCTCCGACTTCACGCGAGCCTCTCATGTTACCGAGTTAGGATCTCGCCGGTCTCGATACATCGGGACACTGGGAACTGTCGGCGTCTTGGTGCCACTCGGACGCTCCTGGCTCACTTGTAAATAAATAGAAGTAGGCGAGTAATGGCCGACGCATCATTCGCCACCTTGACGCAGCGCGGCGGCCGCTAATTTATAACCGCCTCCCTCCGCGACCATAACAATATATTAGGATAATTAAATGGCTCTTTACATTCCTTAACACGTCGTTTTTTACAAGGCCAGGAGTCGAAAAGCACCGACCAATGCTGACTGGTTTCGTTGTAACGTTTTTTGTTTTTGTAAAAACCACAACAAATAGTTTAAGGGCACTTTTTTATGAGGTAGGCAGTAGCCCATTCACATGGCTTAAGCGGACTTACCTTTTGTTATTCATTTATAACATCGTCCATTTCTCTCTTGTACATCGTTAATTTCAATTTTGTATTTAATTTTATACTATAATTTCGATAGAATGAGATAAAAAAAAATCCTGATTTAGAAAGCATCTTAGAACTACAATTTTAAGGATGCAAATAGTTAAAGCACTGTCTTCAACTGAAAGACTTAATTGAGAACAATTGACTGCTAATTAATAAACATTCAATTAGCTTGCCAGAGGGCATTATTCATAAGCGCATGTTTACTAATAAATGAGCACATAGCAAACATTTGTCCACAGCAAGCGCGACATAGTGCGGACGGCGACGGTCGGACACATCATAAATATACATGTGAAGGGCGGATCACCTGTGTGAATGTTTATGTTCGAAGCACTTTAATGTTTGCCCACGAAAAATATCTCCCTTTGTTAACTCTACGCGGCTGTCGTCAGTTTTGGGCCACCGCGCTCATTTCTATTCTTATCAACGAACAAAATTAATTCAGTCAATATAGTCACTTTATCTAACACTTTTTAAGGTATTTTATCGCTTTGAAGCTTACAATACATTAATAAACAATAATATACTTAGAAGGCTTTTAACAAAATCGTAGTGACAGATCATAAATTGAAAATTTGTATTGATATCGAAAGAGTTTTATTTTTTGATTTTGATAGAAATGAATTCGTTTTCAATATATATATATATAACTGCTTTTGTATATCAAGCGAAAGAAATATTTAAAACATAGCTATTGTATACATTTACACAACAAAATTCACCTTTGTAAAACTACGCTTTTCGGACAATGCAAATAAGAATTTGTTCATCTTGTTTGTACTCGTATAATATAGACATGATGGCCATGATAAACAATCAACTAGTCATCCAAACTCTATTGTCACATTGTGGGTGATTTATTTACAATAAATACATCACAGATAGTAACAGGTGCAAATCCATTCTCGTTTGTCCCGATTGTTAGGAGCAGTCTCGGATCCGATTTGTTAAGGTTACATTCTCAATAACGTAGAAAGCAAATTGTTCTTAATACCCATGGGAAGGATGCGACCATGTTATTTATATTATCGTGATCACTAACGGGCAGCGGGCAGCGAGCTGACGCGAGGGTCAATGGCGGAGTCAATGAGAGCATGCCCACTAGTTGCGACGTGCAAGTCACGCCATGAGAAAACGAATCTACGCTTCCGACATCGATCTTATACATTTCTTTATTTCTATACCATTTATAATACAAAAGTTCTCTGTTACAATATTGAAATTAACATTCGCGTGTTTAAAAAAGTAAAAGAGGAAAAATCACTAACGGGCGCTACTTAATTTCAGAGTGGATACTTAACCGTTCTCGCGTAATTATACTTTTCGCGAAATCGCGTGCGAAGGCTATAAACATTACCCGTATCGTGCCAATTTACGGCGTCAACCCTCCGCAAGCCAATAACTCGAGCTGTTGCTGATCGATTTGCATCCGTAATTACGTCACTTTAAGAGAAACAGGTGATGAAAACGAGACAAGTATGTACGTGTTCGTCGACGTCGTCGCCCGCCCCTCGGCCTCGCGGCCCAACCTGCTTTTACTTAACGCTCGTTCAAGGCGACTTTTTTAATTTGTTGCCACCGATGGTATCGCGCCAATGATCGCCATTAAGTAATCTATAAAAATGCGCATTCACGATGCGCCCGCGTTGTCGTAATAAAATGACTTATTGATTTATCATTATATCAGAGCTTCATAAGTCGGGTTGTCGGTGCGAGTTTGTGACGGGCCGGTGCTCGCTAATCTCCGGCCGTACGGTCTGCCGCGGCGCCTCGTCCCGGCCGCGAGTACCTCGCGCCTCGCCCTCGACATCTCATCTTCTAAGAAAAATAAACTGTATTTGTTACAGCACTCTCGTAATCGCCGCTTTTATTGTTTATCTCTCGCCCCAAAGCGAAGTGATCGCATCGCCGTGGGCGTAAAGACAACAATCGCACGGATCACACTATACGTCCTCTTTTGCTGACGCTCCCGAAGAGGCTCTCGATAATATTTTATAAGACAAATAACCCGATAAAGATGTTTTGACGTGAACCCGTGTTCATCGCTCACACTAAAATGCGCCCAGTGAACACGTATAATAAAATATTTATTAAGGATATTTTGATTTCGGCCGGAAAAAGAATAAGACGGGTCTAATTTAGTGTCAACTTTATTGGTGGCGAGTGGAGCGTGAGGGCTCGCGGTCGGGTGCGCGCGCGCTGACAGGACTTAGCGGCGGACCTTACGTGCATCCATTAGCATTGTTTTAAAGGATTAAAGTGATGTTTACGTGCGCTTTGTGGGGCGACGGCGACCTGGTGATCGTCACGCATATTTTTATGACACATGACTTTTTTTGAGTCAACAAATTATCAGTGTGAAATGACTACCGACTGGGTAGTGTTCGATAAGGTAATCCTGTAGGAATTGTTTAAAAACAGTTTAGAAATTTATAGTAGAATGTTA